CCCTGCTGGTTCCCAAGAACGTCACAGCCCATTCCACTAGGAGTGCAGCAACTTCTGCTGCCTGGTCTACTCAAACTTCGCTGGAGAAAATCTGCAGAGCAGCTACCTGGACGTCCCTTTCGCATTATATGGCATTATCGCCTGGATTCCTTCGCTTCGGTTGAGGCTTCTTGGATGGAGGGTGCTTCAGAAGGTGGTACTACAGTCAGAGTGACTGAACCAGATATTGGCCCTCCCGTGGACATGCAGGCGTGGGTATGTCCCATTCCTGGACTCTCGTCACAGCATGGATGAGAATGGGCGTTGGTATAATTACCTGAGAATGCTCTTTCTGTCTACGCTGCAAGAGAGTCCAGCCCCACCCATTTCACTGTTTATCTTCCAGAGACACGTTAAGTCTGTCAAGAACCTTTGCCTAAAAAATGGTGTGCCAGCTAGGGGCTGGCTTTTTATAGTGGCAGGCTTTTTATGAAGTCAGAGGGAGGAGTCATATCCCATTCGTGGACTCTCCTGCAGCGTAGATAGAAAAGGCGTTCTCAGGTAATTATACAAACTCCCATTTCAGAAGCTGCCTTTAAAGGTATTGATTCTTAGTAATTGGGACAAAAGTGCTTATATTTACTTTCTAATTTTATTTATTTGGAATACCGTAAACCAAATGTGGTCAGTTACAAGAATAAAATTCTGTAATATATATAACTAATTAAAAACAATCAAGAAGTAATACAAAGAGACATTTCAAGGGCTAAATTCCAAATGCAAGGGTAAAAAGATAAATTTCATCTAGAATAGAATGTTTCTGTCAAAAAAGGGAAATTCAAGGCCAGAGTAGCAAAACAAAAGAGTGACATATTTCTTCCAACTAGGAGACATAGAAATGTCTACATGAGGTAATAGAGTTTTTTTAAAGACCAGTGCTATATAGTTTCTGAAGATTTTTCTAGAAATAATCTCACAGCTGCATTCTGTGTTTCTTGAAATTTTCAAATAATTTTCAAGGACAAACCTAGGTAGAATGTATTACAAGACTCTAAAATGTTACTAAAGATTACTATTGCTGAATGCATTCCAGACAATGTATGTCACCTATATCTTCAGTAATAAATATACATTCAGAAATTTACCTAGTCTGTACACTTATTCTTTCAGAGAGATTGCATCCCTGTTCAAAGACAAAGGCTTTTCAATTTTCCAGGCCCATAAACTACAAGTTTACAATGCCTCTACCATTTTAGGATTCAGCTTTATTTTATTGATCACCTAATCATACAACTATTGCCTAGTTTTATCATTTGCAGGGATTGTTTGTTATATGTCTACCTCTACTGTAAAAGAGAATCTAATCTGCAGTACATTTGAGAAAATATTGGGAGTATAAAGTTAAAACATAAGAAATCAAGCCAGTCCAAAGCAACATACAAAAATTGATAGGTTAAGAAATCATTTTCACTGTAAAAAAAACTTTAATTGTAAAGATTAAATTTATAAAAATAAGATGCAGGTAAATCTCAGTTAATACAGTTAATAAATCCCTTAAAATGGTCACATTGCAATTTGCACTATTCAAAATAATATTTCTAAGGAAAATATGGTAATAGGTTCCAGCTTGATGAAAATAAGAAATAAAAAGTTTTAGGTATACTTCTTTTATAGTGAATGAATGAATTCTTTATTGGCCAAGGGTGATTAGACACATAAGGAATTTGTCTGGGTGCTTAAGAAATACATTTGTCAAGAATCATAAGATACAACACTTAATATAGTCATAGGGTACAAATAGGCAATCAAATCATACTAGGAAACAGTCAATATAAATCATAAGGATACAAGCAACAAAGTTAGTCATACAGTCGCAAGTGGGAAGAAATGGGTGATAGGAGTGATGAGAAGATTAATAGTGATAGTAATGCAGACTTAGTAAATAGTTGGACAGTGTTGTGGGAATTATTTGTTTAGCAGAGTGATTGTGTTCAGGAAAAAATATATTAATGAAATTTTACAGTAAAGGATAATACGAATGTACTTACAATTGAAACATATAATTAACAAAGTCTCAGAGTAGTTGTAGAAAGCCAAATAAAAATAAATACATTCTACTGTAGTTAGGACAAAAGGAGAAGGCAGGTAGAGGATGAGATGGTTAAATAGAGTCATTGACACAATGAATATAAATTTGAGCAAACTAAGGAAGACAGCGGAGAACAGGGGGGGCCTGGTCCATAGGGTTGCAAAGAATCAAAGACAAACTAGCAAATGAACAACAAACCATAGTCAGGCAATCTAACATCCTTTTTAAGTGTTTCTAACAATACATTCTTGTTCAATTATATCAGATTTTTGTTCTAATATAATAATGGATTTCTTTCTTTAAAAAATTGTTTAGTTTTCATTTGAAGGAATCTTCTCCAATTTGCATATATAAAGATTAGCAGTGTCCAAAATCCCAAACAAAACTGTGCATGTACTGGCTTCATTAACTGAATTTTAAAATTAAATTTACTTAGTGTTCCCCTCCTCCCCATCTTTAGGGTTGGGTTTTTTTTTTGCTTTATTATTTTAATGTGTAGTAGATTTAATGTTTGTAAACTGTCCAAACTTATCTCTTGACAAGATGGGTGGCACATAAATGAAATGAAGGAGAGAAGGAAAGGAAGTTACCTGGTATAAATTTGCACTATATCAAATATTATTTGAATTTGCATTAATTATGACTTGATTTAGGAGCTGAGTATGTAAGCTACCTTAATGTAGCTTAATTATTTCAAGAGAAACAAAATCAAAGTATATAACAAGGAAAATACTTTCTCCCATTCAGTAAGGTTATTTCTCCAAAATGATAGTGTTTTCTCATTGTTATCTGTATCAGGTTTGTACCAGATTTGATTTTTTTTTTACTTATAGCACATTTCAGATATTGTACAGACTGCCTAATGGCTACCCTTATAAAGCAAATTATCTTTATATATTAAATTACAATTTTGGGGCCACTAATTGTATTCTGTATATATTATTCAGGTGTGTAAGATAAAACAGATCAACTTTTTTATATTAAGTGTATTGGATTCACAACCCATAAAATTTCTTAGAAATAGGATACAGGTTTAATTCCGTTTGCAGATGTAAGTCTAGTTACTTTTATGGTGAAAATGTATTTTTTCTGCCACTAATTGAAAATATCCATTGTCATATAAGAATCTTGTGCACAGTGTAGATTGTAAAATGATAAATAAATTACAGTACTCAATCAACTCATACAACTTGATTCAATAATGTCTCTAATATTTCTGACTTCATACCTGGTGTTAACATAACGTGGCATTCTTTGGTTTAAGAATTTCTGGTCTCCGCATTCTTAGTGGTTAGATGAAGTGTCGGGCTCTACTGACAACTAAGTCATCTACCTGCTGTCATAAAGTGTTATTGTGTTCTATTGACAAAGATATGAAATGGGCACCGAAGAAGCCAAGGTTGAAGTCCTCAGCCAAAGAAACTGAGTGAGTGCGTGTGAGCTAGTTACTAAGTCTCAACCCAGCCTTCTCATAGGAATATGCTGTGGGGAAAAATTGGAGACCAGAGCACTGTATGATGCCTTGAGTTCTTGAAGGAAGGTGAAATGTAAATCTAATAAACCAGATAGAATGGAAATGGGATTCTGTGTATCAAGGCTGTATATATGGGAGCAGTTGCAGCTTGTTTCTAATTCAAATAACTGAATAAAATGTCATATAACTTTTTCTACCTTGTGTCTAACGCTTGGCATTAGTTGTGATAGTTCCCAAATTATAAGCAAGAGGAAAGAGTTATCTGTTACGGGATGTTCTCTCTAGTTTAATATATTCAGGACAGTATTTTGTTGTTCCTGATTTTCATCCCTGCCATTAAAGATTTCTCCTCGTTACTTTGCCCTGTTAGAATAAAGAAGAAGATAATCCCTGTAGTCTGTTAAGCATTTCCTTTTGTAGGCGATAATTACATTTGTGCAGTAGGATGTAGTAATCATAAAGTGAGAACACTAGTTAAATATATTGGAGGAGGATGGGATATGGCTTTCTATAAAATGGAAGTTAAAAAACAATGCCTTCAGTTAAACTCAATGTCATAGGACTGGGCACAAAAGGAATTATCCTATTGTAGGCATTGTCTCCATGACTTGGTTTTCTGATTGTGGTACTACAGATATGCAAATATTAACATGCACCTTCTTGGTAAAATGTTACTATGACTGAGTAAAAATTGGCACACGTATCTCCATTAATGATCAGCAAAGTTGATGTGATAAGTTACCTTCAATAGGTTGTTATAAGAACATAAGATGGTACAATTATTTATACGTGTTTATATGTGATGCTTGTCTAGTAACTTAGGTTCTCTGAAAAATATATAGTTCTACAATGTAAACGCAATATAGACAAGCTGTTAAAAGTAGTAAAAATCTGGCAACCAACCAAATATTAAAGGTAAAATAGCCTACAACTGCATATGACGTTTTTTTTAAATGCTATAAGTATGAGTAATTTTAAAAACTGTAGTTAAAGAATTAAATTGCTTCTTACTGTAGAATTTGGTTTTGAAAGAAACTTATTGACAGTTCTAAACTGAAGATCAGAATCATATACCATTATATGCATAAGCTTTGAATTTCCTTTCTCCTCTATTATGTTCCTCAGCAATTTTTCTTAAGGTTTTGCTTCCAGTTTTAGTTTAGCTATTGTTTATCATTCATTTTAAAACTGGAACAATGGTTATGTAACTATTGAATCATGAAGTCTGAATTGTTTATCTCCATTATAATTAAAACTAATTTCTAGAGAGGTGAAATGAGTAAATCTGAATTCAAAACCTGAAAGTTTGTTTATACGTAAAGACATACAGAAATGCATTACTATATATCATACTAAACCTGCATAAATGTATGCAAATATAATCTATGCTACTTGAATACTTAGGGTTTTTTATTTTATAAATAATGAAAGGAAACAATGCTCTATATTATCATCTAGGTGACAAACAGCATGTTTGGTGCTTCAAGAAAGAAGTTTGTAGAGGGGGTCGACAGTGACTACCACGATGAAAATATGTACTACAGCCAGTCATCGATGTTCCCACATCGATCAGAAAAAGATGTAAGTTTTTTGTGCATATTACATTTAATCTTAAAGTTTAGGCTTAATGAGGGCAGGTTTTTGTAATACTATACAGAATTACCACCACCACCCCGACACAATTAGTTTTACTATACAGTGTGGTGGCACAGTAATTAGAATGCATTGTTGCAGGCTGATTCTGCCACTGCCAGGATCCTGACCAGCTCCAGATTGACTCAGCCTTCCATCCTTCAGTAAAATGGCTGTTAAAATGAGAACCCAGATTGTTGGGGGCAATATGCTGACTCTGTAAACTGCTTAGAGGGTGCCATAAAGTGCTATGAAGCGATATATAAATCTAAGTGTTGTTGCTAAGTGCTATAATTACTGCTCTTACTCTTATAACAGCAGAGCACTCTGTAAAATTGTAAAAGTATAGCAGGGTTGTATAACTTAGGATACTAGGTTCTCAGTTGCTGGATAACTTTTCCCAGTGGCTTTGCATAGATACAAGGAAGAAGGGGAGGGAGTTTTGGATCAAATGCTCTCCAGTGGTGGTCCTACAAATAGAGCTGCAAACAACATCTCGACTTCCTTTCCTATAATGCCACTGCAAGTAACAATTGCAACAATAGTACAAAATTCAACTAAGATATCTAAAACATCTAAATGTAGCATTTGTATTATTTCTGTGTAATGAGTTCGGTTAGCTAAGGATTTTTACAGTCCAGACAGTCCTTGACTTAAGACAACAATTGGGCCCTAAACTTTGTGGCTAAGCTAAATATTTGTCAAGTGAATTTTACCCCATTTTATGACTTTTTTTGTCACAGTTATTAAGTGAATCACAGCTGTTGTTAAATTGGGTTTGTGAAGTGAATCTGGCTTCCCCATTGACTTTGCTTGTCAGAAGATTGTAAAAGGGGATCACATGACTGTGGGACACTGCAACTCATAAATTTTGAGTCAGTTGCCAGGCATCTGAATTTTGATCGAATGAACCACGGAGATGCTGCAATAGTTGTAAGTGTGAAAAATGGTCATAAGTCACTTTTTTAATGCTGTTGTAACCTTGAAAAGTCACTAAATGAACTATTGTAAATCGAGAGCTACCTGTATTAAATTTCCTTAGTTACCTGAACTGATGATTTGAAGCCTTAAGCCAAACTGAAATTATAATTCTCTGAGTGTATATGTAGCTGGCTGGCCATCATTCTTTCTCTACTTTGGTCAAGAAAGTGATATTTATAACTGGATACTAGTTGCTTCCTGAATGTCCAGGAAACCCCAAGGACAGAACAGACTGCAGCTTCTTTACAGCAATGGGCATATGGAACATAATTCCATTAGACACTTTATTTGTATTCTTCCTTTATTATTTTTGCAAATAACTGAAGACTGCAAACATCAAACATTCCTTCCTCCTCATGTTTCCCTACAATGACAACCTTTTGAAGTGAGCTGGCTTGAGAGAAAATGAGATCACTCAATTTTTATGGCTACCATGCTCCTTGGTATAACTTAAAAGTCCCTTCTTGTCACATGATATAACACCATAATACCAGTGTTTAAAAAGTTTCAGTGCTTGTCTTTAAAGTGTTTAATATTTTATAACCACTATATTCTATCCTTGACTATTTTTTTTACGTTTGATTTCCAATTTAGATGCTGGCATCACCATCAACATCAGGTCAGCTGTCTCAGTTTGGGGCAAGTTTATATGGGCAACAAAGTAAGAAATCTATTTTTATAATAGGCCAATGGTTGTATGTATTTGTAAGTTACCTTAAATTAGGTTCATTCAATTTAGACTTTTTTTCTATTAATATAGTTTTTAAAGGCTGTGCAAAGTATTTAAAAAGAGTCTTTGGAGGTCCTGCATAGCTGCTTTGAAACTGTCTTCGGTTAACTGTACATATGTATGATAGTCAGCTGCTCTGCTTTGTCAGCAGAAGTGTTCTGTGTGTACACATGCAGACAACTGGAAATAAGTTTCAGAGCAGATGCAGAAGTGTTCCAAAAACTGCTACTACTTTTGTGTTTTGAGGACAGATGTTTTGCTCATGGTAGCATGCAAATACCCCTTTTAATTGCTTTGTACATCCTTAATTCAGCATAAGCGCATCTTAAAATATACAAACTTTTTTTCTCATAATATGCTTGCAAGCAGTTGTTGTTTCAGTTGAGGGCATTCAAAATGAACAATTCATAAATAGCTTTTTAAATTTTAGCACTTTTATGAAATATTCAGTTGCTCATATTAGGTTCTTATCACTTAAGTTACTCAAGAATAGATAATAATAGTACTGGACTATGTTTTAGACCAGGGGTCGCCAACCTTTTAGACCTGAGGGACCACCAAATTCATAATTTTAGATCCCAGGAACCACTAATTGGTTCTGTGGGTGTGGCCTAATTTGTGAGTGTGGCTTGTATGTAAATATTATAAATATTTATATAAATATTGATTTTTTTATAAAAAAAGGCCAACTTTTACCCAAAATCAGGCAAAGCAGACAGATTGAGTGGCTCACAGAATCACAGATTCATTCAGAAATCTATCTGCCATTGGCTAACTCAGTCTGTCACATAAAATATGCTAGCGAGCAAACTCACGAAATTAACTCATAACACACCATGTATGTAAATATTGAATTTTTTATAAAAAAGAGCAACTTTTACCCAAAATCAGGCAAAGCAGGCAGATTGAGTTGCTCACAGAATCATTCAGTGATCTATCCATCTGTCATTGGCAAGCTCAATCTCTCAAATTTGCTTGCCGTGAGTCTGCGCTGAATTTGCTTGCAAGCAAACCTTCAGTCCTAAGGGAGGTTCGGCTGTACACTTAAAAGCAGAGCCGAGGATCTAAAGACTAGCTAGGAAGCAAGAAATCCAATCATTTCCTGCTTCCTAGCTAATCTAAATGTCCCGGCACAACAGAACAGATGATGGTCGGAAAAAGGAAAAACAGCAATTTAGCAGGCAAGTTTACCGGATAAGGAGTGAGTGGGTGGGGAGGGTTCCCGCGGGCTATGTGGGCAGCGCAGCCTTGTGTTTCTGCGCAGCCTGAATTAATTGCCTTGGGGGGGGGGTGAGATTTCTCTGCGGCCCACCAACATCTTCTCGTGACCCACCAGTTGGTGACTGCTGTTTTAGACCTCATCTAATTTGCTATTTCAGTTTATGCCAAATTAGTATTTCACAAAAACTTTAGATATCTTTTATCTGGCAGTAGTTTTTCCCCCCTATAAATAAATAGCAAGCTTTTATTAATTACAGAAGGAATATTCGTAAATTATATTTTTGGAAGGACAACATCTTCTTGGATTTTAAATAAAAACGATCAATACCTAGGTTATTTGGTTGGCTCCTTCATTATAATAAAATGAGTCAGAAATGTTTCTAGATATGGGTAAATTTTAAACTGCTCCTAAATTACTTCTGCTTCTATTTAAGAATTTCTGTCTACTTTATTAAGTCTGCAACTATCCTAGATGGCTCTCTAATTGAAGTGTGAGACTGAAGGTTTTCTTCATTAGAGTTGGACATAATCAAATGTCTCTATTTGTATGATTATGTGTAGGAGAGCATGGTAGTGGTATGTTTTAGAAATTTGCCTTTTTCTCTCAGACCTGTGAACTGCATGCAAGATTAGCAGAGAATAGAAAATCTGGTCAGAGCGTTCAAGGGGAAATTATGATTTGACATATGAAGCAATAGCTCTACGATTTTTTTTTTCTCTCCAAAAAATAGTCTTATTTGTAGCAGCTGTCCTAAGCTGTTGGGGAGCTGAACTATTAGATACAGATGAATGAATTTGTCCCTTTAGACAATATCGTTGGCAGTGCTCCCTTCTCATTTAGGGAGATGGTAATATGCATGATGTTTTTCATTATACCAAATGCCTGCCTGCCTGATCATCCCCCCCCCCCCCCCCATGTATATATAAAATTTTCAAACAAATCATGTTAGCTTTAGTCCTTTTTACCTCAGCTTTGATAAACATTTCATTTTATTTATCCTTTGTTGTATTGGTATAAATTGTCTATAGTTTTACCTTAAACAGTACTTTATAGTTGACTTAAAATAGAGCATAAAAAGCCATTCTTTTTTTCAATTGCATATTCTGCATAAGCCTGTTTTTGAAATATGTTCTTGAAGCCCAGTTCTAAATTCTTTGTCCTGTTACAAAAGAATTGCTTATATTAGAATGAGCAACATAGTAGATGTTTCTATTTACTACTGTTCTTAATATTTTCATGTGATCTTTCTGTCTTAAACTCATGGGTGTGCATCCCGCATGGATATAAATAGAGTTCTTTCATATATTTAATACATAAGAAAACTGAAAGAAGGAATATTTTTAAAATATTTTAAGAAAGCAATTTATATATTTCTGTAGCTTTTGATTAATATGAATAGTTTGATTTATTACATAAATTCAAATGTAGTTTTGGATCACAAATGTATATTGCCTTGTTTATTATTTTTTGTCTCCAAAAAGCAGACTATATGATACATAAGCTAAAAAATCTCAGATCCCTCCAGGAAATCTTCATTTGGCCTTTGTAATTTAAGATTTTAAAGCATAGCTTGCATCAAAACTAAATCTTTATATTTGTGACAAAAACAGCACTGTCCTACTCATATTACTCAGGAGACATAGGGGAAGAGGAATTTCACATCTGTTTCTCTTCCTTTCTCTTTGTTTCTTCCCATCTTATAACTCCCGTTGCCTTTCCCCTCTCCAGAAGCTCCCTGAAGAATTATTTTAAGGGGAAAATAGAAAAAAATCCATTATGCCAGCAATATCCATTCCACTTGCAGATGGACACCATTGAATTAATTAATAGTACACAATAATATATTTGATGCAAGTCTACTGTCATTGTTTAGTAAATTGGCATAGATTTCAGCTGTGATTGTACTTGGAGTATAAGTGTAAGTGTCATATCTAGTAACAAATGTTGGAAATGCAAACTTGTGATGTACTCTGCAAACTATTCTGATCTTCAGCAATTGATTGTTGATAATTGATAATCAACAATTAATTAATGTTTTAAATTGTATGAAGCAGATTATTGACTAAGACGTTTAGGGAATTCTTCCACACATAGAAGCTATTTAACTTGGATTTGTTCACTTAAAATTTTTTTTTTTGATTCTCAAGTGTTTCTGGGAAAAACCTGCAAACTACATATTCGATCCATAATTCTCCTACTCAAAAATCCTTTCATTAACCTTTTAAAATAAAAAGTAAAGTTTGGAAATTGAGAATAGTGAATTTAAATGCTTGTTTTTATAAAATGGTGGTCTGCTTGTCTAAATTTTCCTTTGATATTTATTAAGATATTGTTTTTGATTGTTAAAGCAAACAGATAAGATTATCCCTTAATTCTCTCCATTCATTCTCCTTCTGAATTTTTTTCAATAGGTGCACTAGGCCTTCCAATGAGGGGGATGAGCAACAATACCCCTCAGCTAAATCGCAGCTTATCACAAGGCACTCAGTTACCAAGCCACGTAACACCAACAACAGGGGTACCAACAATGTCACTTCACACGCCTCCATCTCCTAGCAGGTATTTATTGATAACAAATACTTTTCCAGGACATTTCTATTATACCGTTTTATTTTCTTAGAAGTAGTTTACATTCTAGATATTTTTGAAATAATAAACCAAATATTTGTTTCCTGGATTGTTGCTTCTGCTTTGTGAATGTGTACAGCAAAAACTTCTAATGCAATATTGATTCTACTACAAAAAATAAAATACATTTAAGTAAATAATTTTATATAGCAAATGAAACTGTTATTACTGGCATTATTTGATGATATTCTGTGATTCTTCAGGATTCCAAATTCAGTAGGAATTGTAATTTGGTGCATTAGCCTAGGGGTTCTGGGGCTTTCTTGAATTTCAGTGGCCCTAACAGAAGCTTAGGGACCTCCAGTGAACTTACTAATAGTTCTATTTATTAATTAATGAAATATCCCTGAGTGTTTGCTGCCGCATCCTGGGACACCATAGTGCGCAGTCTGAGAACTGCAGCTTTGGCCTATAAGCCCATACTGATTTTTCCAAGTCCGTTTAGAGCTTTCGTGGAGCATAAGAATCTTGATCACTAATATTTTTTTAAAAAATATCTGAGCTTAATTGAACTTTGGAGTTCAATGTAAATCTGAAATTTCAAAAATGCTACCAGTCTCAGTTGATACAAATGAAAAAGATGGACAACTGGTGGTCTTCAGTATAAAATGACTCATTTCATGTGAGTATAAAAATGTCCACTTACCCTAGAAATGATTGGCTTGGACAAAGTAGAAATAATGATATTATTGCATCATATTTTTCAGGGGTATATTGCCTATGAATCCTAGGAATATGATGAACCACTCCCAGGTTGGCCAGGGCATTGGAATTCCAAGCAGGACAAACAGCATGAGCAGTTCAGGTTTAGGCAGTCCTAATCGAAGTTCACCCAGCATAATTTGTATGCCAAAGCAACAACCCTCTCGACAACCTTTTACTGTGAACAGGTAATGATAAATTTAGAGTGGTATATCCTGTGTTATATGAAGGACACTCAGTTACACAAAGAGCTTCTGTTTTCATTTCTCTCCATTCCTATGCACACTACTTTTCTGATAAAGTGGAGCATATTTCAAGATGTACCGCAGGCAAATAAATTGTGTTTTGCTATGATTGTTTCATCACTGGGATGATATATCCTTAGTTCTGAGTAAACTCCTTATGTCTTACAAACTAATCTTCTTTCCAAAATTATTTGCTATGTCATATGTGACTTCTGAAGCCTGTTTTGGATTAGATTCTCTTTTAAATTACAATTTTCCTATCCGAACTTAAAAGATTGTAGAAAAAAAAGCAAATATTAAATAGGAATTCATGGTCTAATTTTTCTTCTTTTAGATCCCTTAAGTAAAAGGCAGTTTTTTCCCATCATTATATTAACTCAGTGTATCAGTCTTGGTTACTTGTTGACTGAAAATAGCAACTATTAATACTTGTTTAGGAAAATATCTGTATCAAATACAATGTTTCAACTAAACGGGTAAATGGTGTTAGAGTTATTCCTGTTTCTCGTACTTTTCCCAAGAGTCTCTAACTTACCAATTAAAGATCCATTTTCAGTTAAATGATTAATATTTCTGTTGCATCTCATCTGTTATAGACAGCATATTAATAAGCATATATTCTTATATTCATGGCTAAGTCCTTTCTCAAGCATAGGTGGTACAAATATACCTAGTGGTATATTCCTTGTGAATTGTTTTTGCGTATAAAAAAGAAAGGACTAAATGGAAAAAACAAACAGTGACAGTGAGAAACAGGAAGAAAGACAAAGTAGAAATAGTATTATGCTTATGAATTATGAGATGTGACATTAAGGAAGTATCTTTATTGTTTGTAAACCATGTAAAGATTGCGACACACAAGATGATATATACTGTTGTAACTTCAGGAAGAAGTTTTGGATCTCTTTGATTCTTAAAAGTTTGTTGGATTGATCATGCTTTATAGATCATCAGAGCTGCATTTTACTTTCAATTCGGTTTTGTTACAGATCAGCAGTATCAGCCCAATGTTTTTTTAAATAACAGTTTGTTTCAAACAATGGCCTTGGAATACACAGAGTGTTCATTTTTAAATGTTTTATATCCAATTCAGTTTATATTTCATGGCATCTTTGGGGGCATTAACATAACAATGCGCAGCTATCTCCTGTTAAAGGTTGCAGTAGTGAGATTATAATTCTTGGATAGCATTTATGGGTTGACTCTTCCATCAGGCTCCTATCTGTGTTTGGGATATAATCATTAAGAGTTCATAGATGGGTTATCAGCCTAGATTATTTCCAATTTATAAAACAGAGCCAGTAACTCACTTCCTATTTTAGCCAGAATGTTTATTCACAAATGAGAAACATTTGCTACCAACCATATGACCCCCATTTATTGCTGGTTGGCACTATTATCAAGCAAGCTATTCTTTTATGTTATGTTTAAACTGATCAATTGAGGAGGAGTGAAGATATAAAAAATAGACAATACGAGTGACATGCTAGTTATGTATAATTTTTTCATCTCCTGTAGATCAAACTAAGGTGATCTATATTTATTTAGAGGATTATTTAGAGGATATATGTTAACTTTCTTTTTTCTTTTCTTTTGTTTATGTTAGCATGTCTGGATTTGGAATGAATAGGAATCAGGCATTTGGAATGAATAACTCTTTATCAAGTAATATTTTTAATGGAACAGGTAAGCCTATTTTAAATCCTCATTCTTTAGAGTTTCATTTTGAAGCTTATTGTGTGTGTATTTTATGTTACTTTCTTAGTATTTGTATAGATATTCATGGTCTTCAGTAGACTTCATTTTCATAAGTGAAAGAGGTGATTCTGCCAGTTTTTCCATAGCCCCTTATATCCTTTGCCCTCCAGTTTTAATTATCAACCAAATCCACTAATTCATATGTTGTCATAGATGTACAGTAACTGCAAGACTGAATGAAGCAGAGTGTAACAGTGCTGGAATCATAGGCTTTTTGTGTTTATTTATTAGATACATATCATACTGCCCAACTCATTTGATCATGTTATTGGGCAGTATACAATAAAAAAAACTAAAAGCAAATACAAATTACAATTAAATCTACAATATAAGCAAAAAAAAAAAAGTGTCTGCTTATTCCCAGCCAGTAGATCTTCTCACACTACTCCGGAACAGAAAAGCCTAGGGTGAATAGTTTTTGGATCACAAGTATTTGTTAATTTTCATAAATTTGGAAAGGTTAATTGAGATCATTTATTTCTATGCCCCACTCAGTTCAGATCTGCTAAAGCCTTATGGACAGATGCTTATCCTGCCTCCAGCGAGGAGGACATGCCACTTCTTGGGGCAGCTATTCCACTGGTTCACAGTTCCTACTGCCAGGAAATTTCTTGTAATATTTAATCTGACTCTCCTTTCCTGTACTTTCAGGTCATTGATTTAGATCCTGTCTGAATGTAGAATGATAGATTTCCTCTTTAGGAACTTGAAGACTGCTATTATATACTTCAGTCTTCTCTTCTGTGGGCTAAACATGCACAGTTTTTTAACTGTTCTTCATAGGGCTTGGTGCTTTCATCATCTTAGTGTTCACTGATGCACTCCCATGTATCAGTCTTTTTAAAAAAAAAACGTGATGCCCAGAAATATGCAAAATACAGTAGTGTGGAAAAATTATTTTTCCTGATCTGGACTATATAGCATTTACCTTTTCAGCAACACTTCATCACACAGCTAGATTATATAATATATCAATTAGATCTTTTTCACATGAACTTTCCCATCTTATACTTTTGTGCCTTTCTCAGGTGCAAGTTTTTACATTTCTTCCTGTTAAATTTCATCCTGTATTTCTGATCCAGTGTTCAGACCTGTTTAGATCTTCTCTTTCTCTTCTGAAGTATTTGACATTCTTCCTAGTTTTGTCATATTGGAAATTTTGATCATTATTCCCTCAGTTTCATCTAGGTTATTATTAAAAATGTTGAAAAGCACATTGTCTACCATAGATCGCATTTAATACTACATTCCAATCTAATTTAAATGGCCAATTAAGGCCTAATTTCCCTTCTGAAAATGTACACATAAAATATTCTGCCTTCTGTCCATCATCCATCACCAATTTATCTCTTTCTGCACACAGCAGACCTTATTTTGCCTTTTTGTTTCTGATGTACACCTCACCTCTTCCAAAAAGCCTTTTTGTTGTTTGAAGTATTTCTTTGCAAGCCTTAGCTCATTTTGCATTTTAGCCTTTCTGAAACATACCTTACAGTTTCTGCTGACTACCTTGTATCCTTACTTACTACCATTCCTTCCACTTTGTATTCATACCCCTTTTTCTTTTCAGCATTTAGACAGTATAAATGTATCCACATGTTCTCTTAAGATGTCTTCAGTTTTTCCTTCTAGTACGAATTTTTTTATAATTGTGCCTTCGGTACCTTGTTTAGTAGGATTTCCCATTCTTTCCAGACACTTTTCTCCTCAGGATTTCAAGCCTGATCCCTCCTACCTTCCGTCTGAATTCAAGAAATCCAGTATACAAGTCTGACTCTTCTCTATTCCTCTTCCCCCTGATATCATGAACTCAAGGATAACATGGCCATTTTCTCTCAAGGTTCCTGTCACCTTCACTTCTTCAATTCCTCCCTGTTGGTAAGAATTATGTCTGGGATATCATACCCGTTTGTTCTTTCTACCATCTTCTGACAAGTGAAGTTGGCAGCAAGATAGGACAGAGATTTCTTGGACCTCTGACTCTTGGCATAGATAGATTTCCTGCAGATATAAGCATATTTGAACTCTCCTGTTTTCAGTATCATGTGCATGATACTGCATAAGGCTAATACTTATCATTTAAACTTGTTTCTTTTAAAGGGCTAAATCACTACTTGCTCTTTCCTTCTCTTTCCTCTACTTCTTGTCTTCTTTCTCCCAAGTTACAGGTATCGTAACTTGGAAGAAAAGGAATATAATAATTATTAAATTTCTACAGAATTGTCTATTTATGATATGAATGCATGGTTCTCCAGATACATTATTGGACATTTATAAACTTGAAAACAACATATTTTCTTTTAGATGGCAGTGAAAATGTTACAGGACTAGATCTTTCAGACTTTCCAGCACTAGCCGACAGAAATAGAAGGGAAGGAAGTGGAAATCCAACTCCATTAATAAACCCTCTAGCTGGAAGGGCACCCTATGGTGAGTGTGAATCTCATGTCTTTGCAGCATTGACCATGTGATATCTTAAGTATTAATAACAGCTATTGCTAAACTTAAACTTTGGCCTCCTGTTGTGATTATTTAATCTGTCTTTTGCCTGAGAAATAAAGGGTTCCTAAAAGAAAATTCCCTGTAGGTTATTTAGCTGCCATCCCAAAACCTGTTTGCTGATAATAAATGTATAGAATTGACTGGAATTTTGAACAGATAGGTATAAAATGGTGAGGGTTTATATTAGTGTCTTTACTCTTTTTACCTTTTCTCACAATTTTCTATCACCCAATTATTTATTTGATTCATACAGTTTCCCATCTCACATGCCTCTGGGTGGTGTCCAATTTTTAAATAAATAAAAATAGTGTATATACATTTCTAAAATGTATCAAAAATAAAACATACAGATGTCCAAGAATCATAAAAATCTTTCAACACAACCACTATAAGGGCTCTTTCACATATCTGGTACCTAAGGCTTGAACATAGAACCAGATCTTCAGGGCCTTACAAATGGCCAGCAGGATGGAGGCCAACTTAATCTTATAAGAAATGATGTTCCAGAAATCAGATGCAATGACATAAAAGGATCTTCTTCAAGATCTTGCTGTCTGATACTCCTTGGCCGATGGTGCTCACAGCATGTCTTTCCTGCCAGAATGCAGGACACATAGAAATGAGTGAGAAAAGGTGGTTCTGTCAATAATCCCCACAAACCATTTGGGGCTTTAAAGGTCGTCAACAACAACTTTAAAGGTGACACCAGCACCAAGAAAACTAGTTTGGTGTTCTAGTTACGGCACAAAACTAGAAACAGAACATTGAGTTCTGTTCCCACCTTAGGGCCAAAGCCAGCTGGGTGACTTTGAGGCAGTCACTCTTTCAGCCTGAGGAAGGAGACAGTGGAAAAGCAAAAGTTTTCTTTGCAAAACAAAACAAAACAAATAAAATAAAATGCAGGAACTTGTCAGAAAGGCAATAGGAGGCAAGTCTAGATGTCCTAGTTATCATGGTATAGCTGTATTGACTGGTGGTGATAAATATAGGAGGCCAGAATAGATTAAGATTATTAATAGATTATTGTAATGCATATGAAATACTAAAAGGTACTGTAAATATAGTTTTTCTTGTTCTCCACAAGCAACAGTAACAGAAGGCAAAGATTTAGAATCAAGACAAGCTAATTTTAGAATAAGAAAAGATTCTTTCACACAATCCTCTTGAGGTTCCGCATGTGGGGACTGGGCTAATATAGCCATTTGCCTCTATCTTGTATATCCCGTGTGCATGCATAAACTATACCTTTGATCTTAGATACAATTAGTTTTAGTGGTTCAATCATATACTGTATTTTCTTCTTACAGTTTTATACCTTCATTTAGTTATTGTAAATCATTAGTACAATTTGGTATATTGTAATAATGTAACCAAACAGTTTTGAAAAATAATCAACTGCTAGTGCCTTTTAAAACCTAATTTACACATTTACATTAATTGTATATTTTTCTTTAAAATTTTTGTTAGCTTCATAGCTAAACATTATAATAATGTTTAAAGAACTCAAAATCTGAATAGTATCAATATATTCCTCTAAATTCATTATTGTTTCTACAAATAGAAGGTTTGAAATGGATATTTTACTTTTTCTATATTTGTTAAAGTAAAATCATATGCTAGAGAAAATTTTAATTATCAAATTGTACAATTTCATTTACTCAGTTTCTATCTTTTTAATTTTCAAATGTTTTAAGCCTTACTTTCAACATGAAAATTAAAATCCATAATAATAAAATAGTACAAATAAATTGAAATAAAATGGAAATTATAGCAATTACAATTTAAATAATTCAGTATGATGTATTTATCTCCCAATATAGTTGGGATGGTAACAAAACCAGCAAATGAGCAAACCCAGGACTTTTCAATACACAATGAAGATTTTCCAGCATTACCAGGCTCCAACTACAAAGATCCAACATCAAGTAATGATGACAGTAAACCTGTAAGTTTGTCTTAATTTACAGAGAGAACAATTCACACATGCACACACATGTATCCACGCATGCTTCTTTAAGAAGGCAGTTACATCATGGGTGAAAGCCTTAGTCATAAAAGTTGGCTGGGGAACTGGGCCATTGACACTGTCTTAGTCCAACCCATCTCAGAGGGTTGTGGAGAAAATGGGAGGAGGAAGGTGTGTGGATTTGTTTGCCACCTTGAGTTATTTGTAAAAATGATGGGAAACAAACAAAGCGAACTAGTCCTTGTCTAACCATATTGAATAACAGAAGTAATTAACAAAGTTGGGGACAACATTCTTCAAATGCAGTGCTGTGTTTGTTAATGGAAATTTGCCCAATTTCCATTTGCTTCACTTCTGATTAAAGGGAAGCATTCAGAGAAATGCTTTAGGGTAGCAGTTCTCATACTGTGGACTGGGGACTTCTGTGAGTCCCCAAGATCCTTTCAGGGAGTCTGCAAATAAATAAATAAATGTATTAATATTTCTCAATTTAAAGTTCTAATACAGTACATATAAAACATGTAAATGTAAGGTGTTTGGAGTCCTCAATCATACTTACTAATTTAAAGTGGTTAGTCATAGTCTCTGTCTGTTTGGCACGTCTATCTTAGCTAGTAAAATGCACGTGGCTTTGCACAGAACCTAGATTAGAAACCTATATGTCAAATGGCTGAACACAGTCTCTCTGATCAGAACTAATATTGGGAGGACTGAAGTTTAATTTATTGTCATTAAAAATACTAATGATCCCAGACAATATGTTATCTATTGTCATCTTTGAATTGTACATAATGGGCAAACTGTTTGTTACTAACAATGTGTTGATACATTGATAATTTTATTTCATAAGCTTATATAAATATACAAACATAAGAGTTGAGAGAAACTTCTGGAGTGTGGTATTTTGTAAACACCTGATAACTAAATTAGATAGTCATGTATCTTTTTTACAATTTTTATATTGATTTTTTTTATATCTCTTAACAGAATTTGAATACATCAGGCAAAACATCTTCTAGTGCAGATGGTCCAAAATTTCCTGGAGATAAAAGTTCAACAACGCAAAACAATAACCAGCAGAAAAAGGGGATTCAGGTGTTACCCGATGGTATGCTTGCTAAACTTGGTTTTTTGTTTTTTTTACTAATGTTTCAGATGACACTGGTTCTCTATTATTAGATAATACTCTTATTTATGTTTTTCTAGGTCGGGTTACCAACATTCCACAAGGGATGGTGACAGACCAGTTTGGAATGATCGGTTTGTTAACATTCATCAGGGCAGCAGAGACAGACCCTGGTATGGTACATCTTGCATTAGGAAGTGACTTGACAACTTTAGGTCTCAACCTCAATTCTCCTGAGTAAGTGTTTTCAAATTAATATATCATTATTTAATGTAAATTACTAGCTATAGTTACTTATTCTTGAATAACCACACTTCTAAAATATTTACTAAGATGAACTAAAAATACAATTAGTGTAAAATATGCATTCATGCTTCAGGATGTTAATATGTAATTCAACAAGATTGTAATAAATCAGGGATAGTATTCATAAAAAAAACTAGCACTTCAGAAAAAACACAAATTTATGATATATTTCTGCAGCTGTTGACAGGATATTCTATGCTTATTATTTGCATTGCAGAAAAAGTTTATAAAGCCTTATATTTTTCATGTATAGTTTCAATATTTCTTTTTTTATTGGTTTACACTGAATTTAATATTACCTATCAGATGACAGTATGAATTGCCTAACCATATTGGGAAAAAGCAGTTTATATCCACTGCTCAAAAAAATAAAGGAAACACAAAAATAAGACATCCTAGATCTGAATGAATGAAATATTGTTGTTAAATACTTTGTTCATTACATAGTTGAATGTGCTGACAACAAAATCACACAAAAATTATCAATGGAAATCAAATTTAGTAACCCATGAAGGTCTGGATTTGGAGTTACACTCAAAATTAAAGTGGAAAAACACACTATAGGCTGATCTAACTTTGATGTAATGTCCTTAAAACAAGTCAAAATGAGGCTCAGTGGTGTGCCTCCACGTGCCTATATGACCTCCCTACAATGCCTGGGCATGCTCCTGATGAGGTGGCGGATGGTCTCCTGAGGGATCTCCACCCACACCTGGACTAAAGCATTCCCCAACTCCTGGACAGTCTCTGGTGCAACATGGCATTGGTGGATGGAGCGGGACATGATGTCCCAGATGTGCTCAATTGGATTCAGGTCTGGGGAACAGGCGGGCCAGTCCATAGCATCAATGCTTTTGTCTTGCAGGAACTGCTGACACACTCCAGCCACATGAGGTCTAGCATTGTCTTGCATTAGGAGGAACCCAGGGCCAACCGCACTAGCATATGGTCTCACAAGGGGTCTGAGGATCTCATCTCGATACCTAATGGCAGTCAGGCTACCTCTGGCAAGCACATGGAGGGCTGTGTGGCCCCTTAAAGAAAGGCCACCCCACACCATTACTGACCCACTGCCAAACCAGTCATGCTGGAGGATGTTGCAGGCAACAGAATATTCTCCACGGTGTCTCCAGACCCTGTCACGTCTGTCACATGTGCTCAGTGTGAACCTGCTTTCATCTGTGAAGAGCAAAGGGCGCTAGTGGCGAATTTGCCAATCTTGGTGTTATCTGGCAAATGCCAAACATCCTGCACGGTGTTGGGCTGTAAGCACAACCCCCACCTGTGGACGTTGGGCCCTCATACCACCCTCATGGAGTCTGTTTCTGACCATTTGAGCAGCCACATGCACATTTGTGGCCTGCTGGAGGTCGTTTTGCAGGGCTCTAGCAGTGCTCCTCCTGTCCCTCCTTGCACAAAGGCGTAGGTAGCGGTCCTGATGCTGGGTTGTTGCTGTCCTACGCCTCCTCCATGTCTCCTGATGTACTGGCCTGTCTCCTGGTAGCGCCTCCATGCTCTGGACACTACTCTGACAGACACAGCAAATCTTCTTGCCACAGCTCGCATTGATGTGCCATCCTGGATGAGCTGCGCTACCTGAGCCACTTGTGTGGGTTGTAGACTCTGTCTCATGCTACCACTAGAGTGAAAGCACCGCCAGCATTCAAAAGTGACCAAACCATCAGCCAGAAAGCATAGGAACTGAGAAGTGGTTTGTGGTCACCACCTGCAGAACCACTCCTTTATTGGGGATGTCTTGCTAACTGCCTATGCTTTCCACCTGTTTTCTATTTCATTTGCACAACAGCATGTGAAATTGATTGACAATCAGTGTTGCTACCTAAGTGGACAGTCACAGAAGTGTGATTGACTTGGAGTTACATTGTGTTGTTTAAGTGTTCCCTTTATTTTTTGAGCAGTGTAGTTAAATAAGCTGTTGTGGAATGAAAAAGTAATCAGTCTTCTATCATATTTCTATACAAATAGCAACAATAATAGCACTTAGACTTATATACCACTTCACAGTGCTTTACAGCCCTCTCAAAGAGGTTTACAGAGTCACCATATTGCCCCCAACAATCTGGGTCCTCATTTTACCGACTTCAGAAGGATGGAAGGTTAAGTCAACTTTGAGCTGGTGAGAATCGAACTGCTGAACTGCTGGCAGTCAGCATAATTAGCCTGCGATACGGCATTCTAACCACTGCAGCACCATGATTAAATGCTTAGTTTATCATTATTTTGAGAGAAGAGTGCTTATATAGTCTAATTTACGTATAATGGGGACAGTTCATATTTCACAAGTCACATGTAGTCTCCAGCTTTGTGCAATTGATATTCAATGGTTAACTGACCAATAGCACAAGTTTTTTGCAGGTTGGAGCCCAGAGAAGTTTTAAAAAATCGGCTTTTCATTTTTCAAAACTCAAATAAATTGACAGATATGGGGAAGGTGGGAATTCAATCACAGTAATATTGCTTTTCATCTTTATTACATTTTCTGTGATTTTTCAGCCATGTAATTCCTGGTTACAGAAAGATTGCTAAATCCCCAAAATGTAAAACCAAAAGGTTTGGTGGGGAACTTACAGTCATCTAGCTCAGTGATTCTTAATCTTTTTGAAAGAATCACCCCCTTGAGCCATTGAGGATGTTATCATCGTCCCCCTTCCCCAACATAACCTCTCAATCACAACACAGGGAAATAATTCTTCAATTTATGTAAACACATTTTTTGTTTTCTTTAAAATTGTCATCAGGCCATATCAATGCAAGTAATTATTTCCAGTCTTTTCCATATTTCAACTGTGTGAAAAATTCTGATGCCACCCATCATTTTATTCCCAAAATTTGTGATACACGTATTTCATTATTATCTTATTTATTCAAGACACTTAAATGCAATGACCACTGAAAACAAAATTCAATTGCAAGAAAATGAAATGCCCAGAAAAAAAGTAACATTTAATGATTTAATTACAAGTGAATTTTAAGACGCAAAATGAAATACAAAAAGGGCATAAGAACAAAGCTCAATGCAGGAACTAAGAATTTTAAGACGAAAACTCTGAAACTAAATTAAGATTCAAGGTAAATATATATTCATGCACAGTGTAAAAAGGGTTAAAAAGACAAAATTTTTACAGAAGGAAAGCAACAAAAATCAGAGAGACAAATTTAATGGGTAGAGTGGCTGCTGCGCAACGCACATGAAGATGAGTGATGTGTATTCACATATGTATGGCATTCTGTACTGAAGCTAGCTGGAGGAACATTTTAAAACACAGTTCAATCCACTAATAGCGAGCGATCTGATGTTTTTGTACGACAGATATGCAGCGGTTCACTGTACGAAAAAAGTCTCAAAAGTGCCCCAAAACTTCTCGCTCCATTGCCCCCATATCGCCCCCCTTCAATTCCTTCATCCCCATGTGGCCCCTTTTCATTCCATCGCCCCCCCTGAAAACTGATATCGCCCAGGTTAAGAACCACTGATCTAGCTCAACTTTCTACTCAGTGCATTACTTAGCATAGGCAATTTTACGAAAAGCCTGGAGCCTACTGCATCTGAGACAGTAAATCAGGATTGTCAAACTCGGCCTGCAGGCCAGATACGTTATGTGCTGGTCACGCCCACGGCCAATTCAGTGAAGGGGGGGAGTTGCAATACGTCACATGATGCCGCCGTGACAATGTGAGTTCGAAACCCCTGTAGTAGATGTTTGGCAGCCAATGGGACTTAGAAGCAGCTACCAGGACTGCCATTGATTTTATTGGCCATTGATTTCCCCATTGCCTGCAGGATGCCCAAATGGAGGCTCCTCTCCCTTCGCCACATGGGTCCTCACCAAAATAGCACCTATTTATCTATTCACATTTTTATATGCTTTTGAACTGCTAACTGGGCAGAAGCTGGAGCAGGTGGTGGGAGCTAACCCTGCCCTGTAGTATTCAGATCTCAAACTCAGGCTTGCTAATCATGAAGCTTCCATTCTAACCATAGAAACAGTGTATCCCCTTACTCAATTCATAATCCACTAGAGCAGGAGGGTTAAATTCGCGGCCCACAAACCAAATGCATTATACGCTGGCCATGCCCACTCAGTTTAGCAAAGGGGAAAAAGTTGTGATATGTTGATGACAACACGTCATCGTGAGTTTGACACCCCTGCACTAGAACATTTTTTAACAATTGATTATGTAGCCTCTGAGTAAAGACCAGTAATAAAAACAAAATCACTTAATATATATAGCCTTTTTCACTAGCTGGCAATATATTCAGTTAGGAAATTATTTGTTACATTGCATCTGAATTGCAGTTTTCACCCTCTGGTTCTGGTCATCCTAGCTTTGTATGATCTACAAACATGCTAAGTATTTTCCCATCTCCCTTATCCAAGTTAATTGATAGAAATGTTGAATAGTACAGGACCCAAGCAATAGTCCTGTAGCACTCCAATGAGACTTTCTTCCAAGTTGAAATGAAATTATTAATGGGCATTTTCTGTGTGTAATTTCTCAGCCAACTGTGAGTTCAACAAAAATTATTGTGCTCATATTTTACTTTATAAATAACATGAGACTATCAAAGGCTTTGCAAAGGTATGGTAGGTTTGCACTATTTCTTTGATCCAATTAAGTTTATATCAGATTAATAGACAAAATTTTCATTCATGTTTTAAATTATTCCAAGCATATACCTTTTTGAAATATTGAAATAATGTTGATTTAGTCACAATCAAAAACTAATATGATTAATGTCACACATCAAAAAATAATATGATGAAAGAAGAGTGATATTTTGTTGATAGCGTATGTTAATAATTGATTGTTGTAACAATGGAAAAAATGTAATGACCATTAATGACAAAACAGTAACACGGTGAAATATCAACTTAATACATTCATTTTGGGAAGGAATTGTCTATAATATTTCAATTCTTTCAAAGATATAAGAGTCAAATGACAGAAGTACATTTATTAATTCAAAATAAATTATGAGTTGCATTATTTGTGATGATTATGATTGCCAAAAGTTGATATTATGTTGCATTGACATAATGGCAAATTTAAATGACAATATTAAACCACAAAGTAGAATTATATTTAATTGCTTCATCTGGCTAATTTGGATCTAACAAAGTTACTTGTTATTATCAATAAAGTGTTGGTAGTATTATAAGAGAGGATTATAGTATATAATTAGTGAAAATAATTAAGTCATGTTAGCACCTCTTTTTATACTGAGAATTAGATTCTAATTTAATGTTATGTACCATATTTTTGGGAGTATAAGACACTCCAAAGTATATGACACAGCTAGATTTTGGGGAGGAAAACAAGGAAACAAAAATCTGCCTCTGCCTCCCAGCAATTTGTCTCGTTGCAGCAAACAGCCTGGTCAGCTTCATCACAGCCTGATTAGCACAAGCAGCTGATTGTCGGTTGGGTTGGCCTCCCGGTGATCACCTGTTTCAGGCTGAAATGATTGTCATTGCCTATTGCCACCTCCATGTGGCCCATTCTCAGCCTCCGCATCCCGTTTTCAGCCTCAGTGTCCCATTTTCAGCCTCTGCACGCCCCATTTTTCGGCCTGTTCCGGGTAGCACCATCCCTGCAGTCTGAAACAGCCAATCGTTGGGAGGCCGATCCAACCCACAATCAGCTGCTTATGCTAATCAGGCTGTGCTGAAGCTGACCAGCCTGTTTGTTGCAGAGGGAAATTGTTGGGATGCAGAGGCCGAAGGATGGGGGCCAGTGGGCAGGTGGGGCTTCAGCAACATTCACTGTAGAAGACACACAGACATTTCCACCCACTGGGGGGGGGGGAGTGCATCTTATACACCAAAAAATATGGTAAATATTGCTATATTGTTTAAAATTCACAAATTTCTTCTAATATTGGATATTATTAAATAGTTTCTCACTATTTCTAATCAGAGTTTCGTGTTATTGTATTATATAATTGTTCATATTAATGTAGATCCAGATAATCTATTTAAGCTAGATAGTGTGCAACAGATAGTCTGTTTTTGTATTCGAAGTCACAGCATTTTGAGAAGGAATAATCTTTAGCAATTAAGTATCTTTTTTTCTGTACAGAAATCTTTACCCCAAATTTGCATCACCTTGGGCTTCTTCACCCTGTCGACCTCAAGACATAGGTAAGGTTGATCAATTAATACATGTATTTTTAACTTAATATACTCTTAATATTCTTGAAAATTAGTATCATGGATTAAGAATTAAATCACATCTCATTCCCTTATTCAGACTTCCATGTTCCTTCTGAATACTTAACAAATATTCACATTAGGGATAAGGTGAGTATACTTTATGGTCCCTTATAACAGAATAAAGTAGAATAAAAAAAACTCAGGCAATTATGTTTTTTACAATCTGTAAATATAGTGGTATTAATATCAAATGGCCTGAATAAAGTATCATTCTACAGTACTATTAATTTAATGAGCTATTTTTCAGATGAATATTGTAAAATGTTTCCAATGCTAAAGAAAAATCTATATATAATTGCTAAATATTATTCCTACTGAAACACATTTTCTTATTATAGTATGCATTTATTCTATACTTTAGAGAAGTTTTTTTAAATATAAGGATCTTAATAGTTTTATATTTTTAAAATGTTTTATTAAATAAAATCACTTCATTTGCTCTTAGTTTATATTTTGGGAGAATAGACATTTTTATTAACATAATAAATTCTACTTTAATAGTATAATCAATCTATATATTGTACAGTTTTGCTATTTCCACTGAAAAAGTGTTATTGTGTTTTCGGAATGTGCGTATATATAAAAAAATGGCAATCTAATGGAATATTCAAAACAATTACATTTGCAGAAGATTTATTTTATCAAAGGACAGAATTATAATTACCTACAGGCGGAATACAGAATTATAAGGATATGATAGAAAGCTAGTTCTAAAGTAAAAAAAAATTCTAATTCTTCATTCAATTCTCCTAAATAGGTAAATTATAGTAGGATACTTCATACTCTATTATTGCAGTAAAGAAAAATATATACTTGGACAATGGTTCATAATCAATGTTGTCTTAGATCCTGTTCAAATATAATACAAGTATGGATGTTGCTAGTCATCTCTACTTAGCAATGCGTGACAGAAGAATAGTCAAAGAGACTGGAAAGTCTTTACCACTGGTTTGTCTGTCAGATCAGTCCTAAGAGGTTTGGTTTCAATCTCTCCTAACTATCAAGAATTTTAAATTATGTGGGTGGTCATGATTCTGGTTTATTGAGAAATAGGTTTAGGTTTAATGCTAATGACCGAGTTTCCTTGGTGTGTTTTACCATTCTTATTGGATATAGGTACCAGAATAAAGATTTGGGAAATTTAGGGAAGCCAATTAGAAGTTCTGGCAGCCTTTCTATCTCTTACCAACTACATGGATGTATATGTGTAATATCAAAGAATAAGTTCATTTCTAAGATCTTTTATTTTTTAATCATATCTTAGTAATATACATAAGGAAAACTTAAATTGGATTTTGAAAGTCTTTTTTTCCTTTACAGTTGGCTGCAATAAAGCTTGGTCGCTACGGGGAAGATCTACTCTTTTATCTCTATTATATGAATGGAGGAGATGTATTACAACTATTAGCAGCAGTAGAGCTGTATGTCACATTTTAATGAATTTTGTCATAAAAGATATTTAGATGTTTTTTAAAATTTTGAATAGCTTTTCTTTTAAAAAAACCAATTACTGTAGTCTGCCATGTGAATGGGAAGTTCAAGCAAAGACTATGCAATTAAAAAAACACCCTTCCACTTGTAGACTTTCTTCTTTCATGCTTTACATGGTGCAGAACTCTTATGTCAGGCGTATGGAATCTTTTAGATTAGATTAGTAAACATGCCTGGAGTTTAGAAAACACATTATGGATACTCACAAAAAATGACTGCTATTCAGTGGACTCCACTATGGTCAGTTTTGATAAGTGTTTCTTTTTTCTATAAAACTCTCATATACTGTAAGGCTAGCAACTCCACTTTAAATATTTAAATATTTCCTTCAGTTAACCTACCATTTCATTTAGGTTAAGTGCTGCAAGGAAAGTTATAGTATAATTTTTATATGTTATTGTTTCACATAGAACATACTTAATGTAGTTGTATAGATAAAGGTATTTTGATAATTCTAATTTTACTTTTTAAGAAATTTAAATCAGTCCATCTAATTGAATCTTCTTTTTCCTGATTCGACGATGAAAGATTTAACCGAGACTGGAGATACCACAAAGAAGAGAGGGTATGGATTACCAGAGCACCAGGCATGGAGCCAACAATGAAAACCAATACATATGAGAGAGGAACCTATTATTTCTTTGACTGTCTTAACTGGAGAAAAGTAGCGAAGGTATTTTTTTAAGATAAATCTTTAAAATTCATGTTCTCTATTTCATCACAGATTCTTATTTGGGAGTATGGAATCTTTTGGATTAGTAAACATGCTTGGAGTTTAGAAAACACATTACAGATATTTGCAAGAAATTACTGCTATTCAGCGGGCTTCTCTATTTACTGAGACATGCTGACTAGTACTAGTTTAAAATGCAACGCTGTCTGCGGCTACAGTTCTAAAAAAATGTACCAGGTGAATTAAGGTGTATATATGGTGGAAGAAAAATATTTTAAATTTATTATTGGGTCAGTTTCCATATATTGTGTTTTTATTTCAATTGTCACTGATCTTTTATTTCTATGGGTCAGCAACATATCCTGACTCCTTACTAAATGAAGCTTATTTTTTTGTTTTCAATTTGCTTTTTTTAATTAAACAGATAACTGGATGAGCAGACTCAGCTGAGGTAATATAAGCTTTGTGTTGTGAAGTTATCAGGGATTGATTTACATCTGTGAGCCCTGAAGAAGTAAACAGGATCCTTTGTGCTATTAGCTCGTACCTATAGATTAATTTCTTGCTGTATCTATTAAAGTGTAGGAAAATGAGAAGATGCTGGAGAAATGCATCCCTGAGTGAAGAAGTGATGCCTCCCACTTGAAAAAGGGGATACATCTCAAGAAACCATTGCTCAAATTAGCAATTAGCCATTCTCAGACACTTCTCTTTTTAGGGACATTTATTAGAAGTGGTTGAATCATGGTTACAAAGAACCTGGCTAGATCAAATCAACTGATTTCAATCAGAATTCTTTCAGTCAATATCAGGATTCAGAATCAGAAACAGGATTCAAACCAGTCTGCCATGTGAGACTGAAACCATATTTACTCTCATTGATGGCCTTTGATGGGATAAGGATAGAGGGGTTTGATTTGTCTTGATGGGCCTTTTAGCAGCTTTCGGTATCATTTATCATGCCTTTCACTGGGTATCCTCCTTCCTAAGTAGCCAATTCCAGTTAGTGATGATGAGTGAAGGGAGGTCACTTTTCAGCCATTTTTAATTTATTATTTGGTCCTTGCTTTCCTGCAACATAACATCTACGTTAAACTACTAGAAGAACTCATCTGCTGGCATAGAGTGATATATAAGCAGCATATTGATAATATGCCATTATGGGTCTCCCCCTTAGTCAGGCAAGAGATGTAGTAACTAAGGACTCGGACCCAATGCTTGAGGATTTTTAGGGGAAAAATAGGAGGAAAAATAGGTTAGGACTAAATAGGCTAGGACCTACAAAGGGTGGTTATTGCTGATTATAGAAATAGTTCATCTTTTACTCTGGAATGTCTTTGATAGAACTGGCTTGCAAGTTAGGGTCCTTTTGGAGTCATAGCTTCTAGTAATCTTATTGAACAGCAGGTGGATTTTAGGGCTAAGAGAAACATTGCACAATTTCATCTTGTGTATTGATTGTAGTCCCTCCTCAGTTGGTATTTCTTGTAGCCACTTTGTGACCATCTGGATTGTTGCAATTTACTGTAGATATAGCTACCTTGAAAACTATTTGTACTAAGTAGTTATGAGTGCCCATGCCACATCAGTATTGTGAGAGCTGTGTTGCTATCAGTTACTTTCTGGATGAAAGTTAATATGCTTAATTGTCACAAAGCCTTATATTGCTTAGGGCCTAGGATATCTCTGAATTTGCTATTCTGGCAATATCTGGGAGAAAAGGAATGACACCTTCAGGGAATTTGGATTCTTGATGAAGGCCTCCTCCCTTCTGAGGGATATTGGTCCACTGCATTCTTACTACATTTTTGAAGAATTGTAAAAACATGGCTCTTTAAAAACAATTTGGAAATTAATAAATCAGGCTACCCCCAAATAATGGTCCATTGGATTGAATTATTGTGATTGTATTAATTTAATTCTGTTTTTAATCTTATTACTTACTACAGTATGCCATTCGGTTTCTGGAAATATAAAGGCATATAAGTTGTGCTAATAAAATGAATAAATTGTCCTTATTGTGTGTAAGTAATAGAAATATTATATTGTCAATGGGAAAAAAGCTAGTAATATTCTTGAAACAACTTAGTAGTGAAAACCATTTTACTTAATTATCATTCAATTTGTATCTTTCTCTGCTTCTTCATGTATGACTTAAGATAAATGTTTTACAATACTTTTAGGGGGAAAAGATGGAGATTGATTTTGTTTGCATAACGATTGTGTAAAAACAATACTATAAATAGTTACTTGCAGAATATCTACCATTCTTATTGACTGATCTATCACAAGGGTCACTGAAGATAGGGAGGCATTCTTTTTCTTGAACCTGAGATTTTTTTAAAAATAAATCTCTTACCAGAGCCGTCTGCCTTCAGCAACTCTAAGCTACATATATTATCTTCTATTGAGATTCATCTCGGATACCGAAATGAAGAGAGAAAAGTTTACATTTAGAGAGTACCATCTTCTGTCTAATTTCTAGCAATTAATATTTTTATTGGTTTTTTTTCAAGTAGTTTTTAAATGATTGGAGCTATAAATACAATTATGTGAGAAAATATTCATCCATCTTGGATTTTATAAATGGTTGCATATCTTCTAAATATTATCCAAGCTTCACGGGGGATATATTGATAAGTAAAGGTTGTTTGTTGCTGATTTTAGTTATTTCATAAATAAAATAATCCAATATGCATTTCAGATGTGAAAAATAATTGCCTTCTTGGTTTGGTCAATATAGTTACAGTTTGCAGAAATGAAATATTATATTCTATAATAAAAAATATCACAATTGTCAAGTATGAAAGTTGACTTGCATTGTTTGAATATATTTTACTGCCTCAGAAGTTGAAGAATTTATTGTAAGTTTAAATTTGTGGAAAATTCCACAAAGAATTCTGTGCACTAGCTGAAGGTTAGTTGGGTCATGTAAGAAGACAGTGATCCCTAATAAATAAGCAAGGCTACAATGCAATGGAATAGAGAATAAATTCAGTGGTTTGGAATGGTGAAGTCAAAATCCAGTCCTCAGCCTCATAGAAATGCAGTGACATGGTCTGAAACAGGAGTTCATGTTAGAATTTTCTCATGTCACTGATTTAAGATATTTCTCTATAAAATAAAAAATAAAAACCAGGCCAATAGGACATAGTGATGTGAGAGACTGATCACCAATTTCAGGAAGCAATTGGCTGTTTATATTTACAGCTAAAGATGGTGTAACCAATTAGTTAATATAAAGATGTGATTACTTTTCATACAAATCATATTGGATTATCTAATTTTGAAATAAGCTCCAAACATTTTGTCTTTATAAGTCCCACATTAAGTGCTCATAACAGTCATTGACAAAAATATGCAGAAATTCAGAAAATCTGACAGGAATCAAATGCATTCTCACATAATTGTATTTTTATAATATTAACACAAATCTCTATTTTGAATTCTTCATTTTTAAATCTAGCTGCAGTTAGATCTCATGTTTGTTGGTATAAAGTAAATGTAAGACATATTGCAAACTTAGGGAAATAGTGACTTTTTAAACATTAAATTTAGTTTCTAAAAGGCTGTCCTAAGGGAATGTTTGTTTATTTGAAAGAAACAATGCTTTCTTTAGGTTAAATGTGCACTAATAACGAACCATTAATTCTAATGACCTGTTAGCTGATAGTAGAATAATTATCATTATTTGGGTTTGTAGGAGTTCCATCTGGAATATGATAAACTAGAAGAACGGCCTCATCTGCCATCCACTTTCAACTACAACCCTGCTCAGCAAGCCTTCTGAAGACTTCCCTCTTGTCTTGGGGTATGGCTGTCTCAGCACAATACTCAACATAACTGCAAAACTGAAGTGGCTCAGGCATCCCGGTTTTAATTCCTTTTGAGGATCTGGCAATTGGTTCATGCAAAAGGGTCACCATTTGAAGTCCTGCCTTACTAATTATGTGCTGCCCAACAACTAAATTTATAATTCGTTTTCCTTTAGTTTGAGCAGGGTCGGATTTTTTTTTTATATTATTTTTATTTTTTTGCCAGCAGACAAGCTTGGGTCTGTAAAGACAAGCAAGTACACTGACAAAAGTTTACTACTTAGTTTCCAAAATGTAAAAAAAAGGAAAAAAGAAACAAAATAGACAATAAAATTTGCATTGTTCATTGTAGCACTCTTGGTAATAAAAAAAAATGTTTGTGCATTTTTATGTGAAGATCCTTCTCGTATTTCATTTGGAAAGATGAGCAAGGTCTGCTTCCTTCATTTTACTTCCCCTTCAGTTTCTGAAAAGGCAGTTTTCGCCAACTTAATGCAAGAATATCTGTTTAGAAGAAAGATATTGCCACAACTTATGGTTCATTTCCAAAGTTGTGTGTTAACTGAGCTTCATCTTTCCAGAATGAGCAAAACACTGTCCAGTCTTTGTTACGATTTTGTAATAAATGTGTACATTTTTTTTAAATTTTTGGACATCACATGAATAAAGGTATGTATGTACGAATGTGTATATATTATATATATGACATCTATTTTGGAAAATGTTTGCCCTGCTGTACCTCATTTTTAGGAGGTGTGCATGGATGCAATATATGAAAACGGGACATTCTGGAACTGCTGGTCAGGGGACATCTATGCCGCCCTGTGCACTAAAGGGCCAGATTTCAGCAGCCAAGGACATCCATACCCAAGTGAATGTGATGGGACTTAACGAAGTGAACTGAGACAATTCACACTGGCTGTTTGAAAAGCAGCGTTTCATAGGAAGAGAAAAAAAAAAAAGATCAATCTTGTATTTTCTGACCACATAAAGGCTTCTTCTCTTTGTAATAAAGTAGAAAAGCTCTCCTCACTGCAGTGTTGACTTTGATTTGAAATTGTGATATCATTTCTTCAACAATGAAAATATATAAAAAGTTGAAGTATTAAAAATGCAAAGCTATAAGAATGATTGTGGCACTTAATATGAAGAATAGTTTTGCTGCAGACATTTCATGAATAAGAGTTACATACGTTTCCACTGTAGCCTAAATGCTTGATTAAACATGTTGTCATGTCCAAACAGATTAGCATAATAAAATAATGTATGTTAAGCAGTTGGGATGGATTAGCTGGGCAATCAAGGAAGGTGGTCCAAAAATTCACATTGAAATAACTTTGTGTCAGTATGTTTTAAACTTTTGAGAGGAGAGAAACATTTCATTTGATGCTTGATTTTTTTTTCCTGGAGGTTCAAAACCAAACCAACGTGAACACATTCTATTTGTGAAAGGCACTGTAACTATATTATTTAGACTGTGAGTAGAAGAAAGTGTATAACCCTTTACTGTTGCAAATTTAACTCAGCTATTATATTGCAATCAGATCTTAAAAGTTGGTGCAATTTATCTGAAATTACCAAAGTAAGAAAATACAGCAGAATAATGTCAGTGAAATGTTTTAATTTTATTTTTTTTTCTATGTAGTGTAAAAGAAAATTGTTGGCTTTTTTAAAAAAAAAACTTTGGGAAATCAGCTGCTAGTATTATATTTCTATATCAGGTGTACAGCAAATAAAATTCTACATTTTATATGTATTTTGGGTTAACTGGCAGACATAAAAATATAAAAAAGACAACTGTCATTTTATTATTTAACACAAAGCACTTCCTTAGTCTGAGCAGTTATTTCTGATAACATATACCATGCGAATATTCGTTGCTCCATTATTTAAATACATTTTACTATTTACAAGCTTTTCAAAAAGAATAACTGAAAATATTCACAATTTCATAATATTTACAACCTTGACCTAGAAACATAAGTCATAAAAATTCTATTAATACAGCTGTGATCTCTTAAATTGATTTCTCCATTGTGTGCTTAATTCATGTAGTCAAGTGCTATTTAAAATTAAAGTTACGGGATGATTGCAGGACAAGTTCATGTCCAAGTAAGCAATGTGTCTTAATTAAGAATGTTGCTGTTTCAAAAGGCCATGGGTTTTTAAAAAATACAACTTTAGATGCACTTTATTGTGGTCTAATTTGCAATATTGTACATTTACAAACCTTTTGGTTAAATAAAACAAAAACAGGATCCATCATATGTTAATGCTAACAAAATAAAGCATTACATGCTGTCAATTAAAGAAATTCTACCTAGATTGTCATTAATATGGAATCAAGAATTGACAGTAGTGATTTACCAAACAACCATGCAACTTATTACATGCGATCTACTTAACATTGAATTTCATATTTTGTGAATAATATGTATGTATGAGAAAAATAGTATTTACTGAGCTGTTCCAGCAATCTTTTATGAAAATTTCAAAAATAGTAGGTTTTTGCATGAAAAATACAATTAAAACTGGAAGCATTTGATAAAGCCATATTAATTAAACTAATCCTTTTTACTGAAGTAAGAGAGTGTTTACAATCTATTTATTATTGAATAGCTCTAATAGCATCAATAGGCTATACCAAAACTGCATCCTACAGCAAATATGTAATAATTATATAGTGATTTCCATGGTTCCTTAACTTTATACGAGTTAATATTTCTTTAATAATGTATTGCATTTGTATCCCCTGGACTGAAAAAGCAACTTAAGACAGCTTACATCATAAAACATAAAACATAGTAAAAACCTGGTATCTAAATAAAACACAAATATATCATAATACTTTAGGCACAGAGGTTGCAATTCATTACCCAAAGCCACTCTGGAACAGGTTTAGTCTTTAATAGCTTCCAGAAAGCTGCCAAAGAAGGCATCAGCCTAATTTCCAGAAGAAGACCGGAACATGAGAGTTCTAAGCAAAAAATGTTACCTGCAGTCTTGCCCCTTCGTGTATTTGAAGCGTCATTAAAAGATGGTGAAAGAATGTGTGCAAAGGGTAAGTTATGCTGCTTCTGTGTGAAGAAAATGGTTCTCCCTTGCTGCAATGCTTATATGTTAAAACCATCACTTTGAATAGCAACAGGAAATACATTGGTAAACATTGTGATGACCATAAAATGGATGTTGTAAGAATACAATTGATTTAATCTAGGACCTGATACATTTTATAACAGTTGCAATTTCTGAGCAGTCTTCTGTCATCCCCGTAAAGGCTGCATTGTAGTAATCCAAGTGAGTAGTGGTATGATGGTTAATATTACTGTTTAATATAATTTCACTTAAGTTGAAATACCCTAAATAAGTTTTCTAAAATATATATTCTCAGAATAGTAAACTAATTTTATTTCCAGTTCATTCTAATATCCCCTTATGTTTTTATTTCATTCTGTACATAAACAATTTTTGAAAAATACAGATAAAAACATTTTTCAGTAGGAAATTTACATGTAGTCTATTTTTAATGTGACATTAAATCTGATGCAGAGGAGTCATTATATATACTAGTTTGCCAGTGACACTGTCCAGGGGAGTGTATTTTAATTCCATGGCTTCTGAAGAAATCCTGTAGTTGTTTTTTAAAAAAATATTGCTCTCCATCCTTGCAATCTCTTTTTTATTATCCTCATACTTATGTAGCATAGAGGGGTGGATGTCATTTATCTCTACTGTTTAAAAGAATTACAGAGTATTTTGCAAGCTGGTTTTTCTTAACACCTTTTTCCAGAGATACTTTAGTTGGCATATATTCAGGATAGAATTGCTAAGATATTCACATAGCCTCTTTAAATTGTATATTTTAGTCTACAGTGCTTTCTAATAGAGATAATAATTTGAAGATTTTAAAAAGTATGTTTGTGTTTATGTTTTGAGAAGTATTCATGTGCCTTCCTATATTTTTAATTAATGTAGAGGAGTCCAGCCCAGTGTTTGGAAGTCAGACCCAGAACCTATATCTAATGAAAATACTTGGTTCAGATAACACATTTTCCCCCTCTTTCAGTATTTATGGGAAAGACTTAATATTTTGAAAATCAAAATACCAAGGGAAAAAGGTTAATTCTTCCTTCTCAATTTGGGCTGAATCTGGAAATTATAAACACAATTAGCCTATAGTTTGATCCTTCGATAGATTGCTTGTTGGTGATGGTGTAGTGTTCAGAAACAGTCTAAACGTAGGCTTTAAGGCCATTTAAACTAACTGGGTTTATTAGATCCTTGATTTTAATAGGACTGATTTTGAAGGTCTGCATAAATCAGTTCCATTTGAGTTTGTGGGGGCATACCTCCCAGATTGTAGTTTTTGATTATGCCTAAGGTCTGAAATTATATTTGAGTCAAAATAGGAAGTGCGCTTGCCGCTTGTTCTAGATTGTTGTCTTTATAAGAGTTTTGTTTTTGTTTTTTAATGGTATTTTGGATAGGTTAACACATGTTGGGACAGATAAAACATTTGGGTCTCCTGGTTTTGTATGTATGGTCCTTTATTTCAATCTGTGCTTACTTAATCTGCTCCTGTTCTTTGAAAAATATAAGTTAATGCCATATTTATACATTATATCTTGCATTTCATTGGCTAGAGATTGATTCTTCTAAGTGTTCCCTCATTTTATCCTGATAGTAGCAGCCCTGCAAACGGTGGTTAGAGATAATTGCTACACCAAATTACTGCACTGTATGATCTCCATTATCAATTTAGTATTGATCTTAGTGTTTTCTACTCTGCTTCCATCATAGAGGGTCTAGGGCAACTCGCTGCTACCAGCTCGCTGCAGGACAAGAGTTACATTATCAAAGAAATGGTGGAATAGAATCATTAAAGTAAGGATGCAAAAGGAGGAACAGAATGAAATATGAATGGCAAAAATTAAAATATTTTTAAAAGATTTCAAATAAAACTGAAAGGTTGATTGTCCTGCAACAAGTTGGCCATGGCAAAGTAAGTCACAGTGAGTTGGTTGTGATGAGTTGCCTCATTCTGGGACAGAGAAGAGCACACTGGCAGCTTTGTTTCTCTTTATAAAGGAGAGTATAACATCTACAATTGGTAATATCCAGTGACAAATATACATTAGATCTAGGGATGAATTATCTATCATCTAATGTAAGATGTAAAAATTGTAGAATCGCAACTGCATAACGCTATTAACATTTTAGCTTATTTTCAAGAGAAAAATGCTAGCAGAGTTCAACATAGTCACATTTTATGTCAGAAAATAATGAAAAAGGGCCGTTTTTTTCCAGAGTACCTGGAAAATACTGAAAACCACAATACAGTGTAAGAAAGGATGTTAAGTTTGTAAGAGGCTTAGCTCCCAATTCTTAAAAGCGGTTATAAATATTAAGCCCTTCCCAAGAAAACCAGTTCTAACAAGGAGAACAAAGAGCATTGATGGAATAGTGTGAGGTGTCACAGTGGAATGAAAAACAAGAAGCATACGGCCAAAAAAGAGGGAAGCAATGAGAACTTCAAAACTTTTAATTTCAGGAAAATAGGTGGGCTGTTAAATAAAAAAGAAGTTAAAAAGAGGCTTAAGGATGATGTAGTAATTGCAGCAGTTAACATTTTACATATGCTTTTCCTGAAGGGAATATGTAAACTAGAGATAGGCCATATTTATTTTGCTCAGGGTGGAAATTAAAATGATTAAAATAAATTCAGGAAACAAGGTATTCTTCATTACCATAAAATGGAATAATGTTCATAAAATGGTTGGGTTTAAAAGGATTTGATAGAGAGTAAAACTACCAAGAGCTGGACAAGGCAGTTCTCCAAATTATAGTTATATCAGTTATAGGAACGACAGTAGAAGAATATACATCTTACCCAAAGGCTTGGTAAGAAATCAGCTGTTAGACTATTATGCTCTGCCTGGTTCTGGCCTGCAGGGTGCTTAGATCTGGCCTGCGGGGTCGCCCTGGAAATGAAAGAACTGGCCTGCAGTGTCTCTGCCTGCAAAAATG